CGGCCGCTGACCTGAGTCCCCGCACTTCCCATTTGGCTACCAGGGGTCTCAGACTCGTCTGCCTCCGAGGGCCGGTGGCTGATGTGAAGCAGCGGAGCAGGCCACCAGGACACGTAAGGGGACAGGTTGGAAAGGTGCCACGCTGGGGGATACTTACCGAAAGTCACTCACATTTATGTACCCAACTTTTTATTTCCTATGCCTTTCAATTCAATGTAATATTAAGTAATTATTGCCACTTCAAGGTATATGAGATACAGGCTGTTTTTCTCCCTTTTTAAAAATAAAAATAACTTTAATTATCTTTTCTTAATTAAAAAGTAGTGCATATTATGGGAAAAAAATTTTAATGAAAACAAGCAAGAAGAAAACCCATAATGTTACCACCAGGAAAAAAAAAAACAGGTTGTTTATTTTTTAAATCGAGGTATAATTGACATAAAACATTATATTGGTTTCAGGTGTACAGCGTTCTGATTGGATGTTGGTATTTATATATTTTTTGTATGTCACGTTAAGACGCTGCCCACACCCAAGCAGTCTGCGGTGCAGCCGCATGTTCTGAGGGTCTCCTTGCTGGCATCTGGCCACGCGGCAGACAAGCCTGGAAGGTCTGGGCTGGTCAGGCTCCTCACAGAGAACTTGGGAAGCGGGGGGGGGGGGGGTTCAGGTGACCTCTGGTGGTGCCTGAGTTGAAGCTTTCCATCCCCACGCAGAACCCCTGCTCCCTGGGAGGACACACAGCTCATGTTTCCCCAAGATCATATCCAACAACTTGAAGAGTGGAATGCGGCAGCGGGTGGGGGTGGGGAACACCGAGTCTTCTGCGGGGAACCCAGGTGGGGATCTGTGCAGTGACCTACATCACTCTAGCGTCCACCCTTGTCGCTCTTTCTCTCCCCTCCAGGAACAGCAGGATATGATACATTTCCCAAGGATAAATTACTCTGGGAAAAAAGCCCCATTTTATTAACATGCTGAATGACAACACAGCAAATCTCTTAAGCCCTCACTGATTTGCGGTCCAGCTCTGCAGAGTAAATTCTTGGAGCCCAAGCCTCCCTTCATTACCGTACTTTCTAAAGCATCCCTGACAGTCCCCTCGGTGTCTGCTGACATCTGCACGGCTCAGTGTACACCTTGCTCTGAAATGCCAGGCAATGCAAAGAACATGGCGCTCCCAAAAGGGGGTGTCAGGGGCTGCCATCTATCTACTCGCCACTCTGATGGGCAGACGCTGGTCCCCACATGCCAGACTGACACACAGAGTTCAAAATGGAAAAGAAATAGCCCACTTCCTACTGTCCTACTTGGTAACACAGACTGCTGCTGGAGTTAGCAAGGAAGGCAGAGAGATTCGGAGAGAAAATTCAAGCTGCTGATCCACCTCTCAGATCTGTATGGATGGCAGAATACTTGGAAGTCACGGTGCCCCTTGCAGAACGCAGTGAAGTACTGATGGAGTAAACAGGAAAATGAACTGGAAAAGAGCATGCAAAAGCAGGTCCCACCTAACACTGGACTCCGGGCTGCACAAGCCTGAAACCTTTAAGGAATCTTTATGGGAAACAAACAACAAAGCACCAAAAACCCCACAGGATTTTATTCCCCTGCCCTCTTTTCTCTCCCGCCGAAACGGGAAAGGGACCACCGTTCTGAGGTTCGGCAGAGGACGAGCTCACGGAACATACATGGGAGCACAAGGGAGAGCCGATGCATCGTGGGAAAAATGCAGTGTCTGGTCCCCTCGTCCAAACCCTGTAGGGAGAGGCTGTCTGAGCTGCCGGTCAGAGACGGGACTGCAGGCCACATGAGTGAGCGATGCCACTTGAATATATGAGAAAAGTAGCCAAATACCGACCAGAAATAGCAAGGAAGGCTCAGCTCAGTGTCCAAGAGACAAGGTGGGGGGCGGGGAGCTCTGTGGGGACATGCCAGCACTGTGAGGCTATAGCTGCGGCCAAGTTGGGGGGCCAGGTGGGGGCACAAACATTCACTCCATAACAAGGTGTGACCAATCCTCATTTTCAAGAGAAGCTCGATGTCTGATTTTTAAAAATCTAACACCTTCTAATTTTTTGATGTTGGTACTACCTCAGTTAAGAAAAACAAATTAGCCCTGGCCAGTTTGGCTCAGCGGTTAGAGTGTCGGCCTGCGGTCCGGAGAGACCCGGGTTCGGTTCCCGCTAAGGGCACGTACTTCGGTTGCAGTTTGTCCCCGGCCCTGGTTGGTCGTGCGGGTGGCAGCCACTCGATGTGTCCCTTCACGTCGATGTTTCTCTCTCTCTCTCTCTCCCTTCCTCTCTCTCCCTCCCACTCTATCTGTACAAAAAAATGGAAAAATATCCTCGGGTGAGGATTAAAAAAATAATAATAATATAAAAAAAAAAAAAAAAAAAAAAAAGAAAAACAAATTAACAGAACCCCACCAGACTGGTCAAATAAAACAGGCAGAGGGTCAGGCTCCATCCACAGGTGGTGAGCTTGTCACCCATGTCCCAAAACATGGGCGATGGCCCCGCACAGCCCAGGCTCCCAGTGCTGGTGGGTGCCCAGCCCGGGGACCTCCCAGACCCCCCTTTCCTCGCCAGTACTAGCTGAAACGTATGAAACGGCCCTTTTATTGACAACGTGGTCAAGGTTCCACCTAATAAAACGGAGACGCGGTGCCCACCTCACAGGCTCTCGGGGAGATCCCGCAGGGCAGACGCTGAGCTCATGCCCACCGGAGGGGAGGCGGGAGGGCAGCCCGCCGAGCAGACAGGACCGTGTGTCCCGTAGCTCAGGCTGAACTTTAGGGTCCTGAGTCACCACGTAAGAGAGCCAAGGAAATCTGTTAAGATTTATTTTTTAAAATATGCTTTTCCAGGTTTATTTCCTTAGCCAAGAGTTGGTTTTTTTGTTTTGTTTCGTTTTTTAATTGGGAATCTCTTAGGGTGCGCTCTGGAGCTGAGATGCCAGTCTCGCCGTCTTCCCGGAGCACACAGACTGGACACGCTCAGGTGGTGGCTCACCGGCTCCTCCGCACTCCCCCACGAACAGTCTGACACTCCCGCCACCTCATCTGGCTCACACGGAGGGAGGTGGGGCGGGCAGCTGAGTCTGGCCCCCGAGGAGCGCCAACAGGGGACGCTGTTTGAGTCGCCTGGGGTCCAGACCGAGTGCAGTCAGAAATCTGGTGTCAATACTGTGTCATTTGCCGCCATCTCTGACGGAAATCCTCTGTGTTTTTTAAGCCCATGAAATTGAACCTTATGTTCTCCGCTAATCAGGCACAGAGGTTCCTCTCCCAGCTCTGACCAATGGCCACCGGCGCAGCTGAGACCGCACGGCACAGACGCCCTCGCTAGCACGTTCGCAGGTCCACGGGCTCAGGTTCGCTAACCGCTCCACCGGAGATGTCGGGGCCCGGCAGGAAGGCCCGTGTGGGGCAGGGCTTTCTCCGTTCTCAGCATCAGAACCTTAGGACCAACTCTGTAACTTAGGACTCTGAGTGATTCTTCCCAATACACACCGTGGGCCAGGGCCGCCTCCAAAGCCGCGTTCTCAACCTGTGGGTCGCGACCCCTTTAGGGTGGAATGACCCTTTCACAGGGGTCGCCTAAGACATAACAGTAGCAAAATTACAGTTATGAAGTAGCAATGAAAATAATTTAATGGCTGGGGCCACCACCACATGAGGAGCTGTGTGAAAGGTCGCGGCATCAGGAAGGCTGAGGACCACTCAAGGATCAGGCTCCCCTCAGGCCCCGGCGGCACTGACAAGCGGCGCGCTCTACGGGGAAGCACGGGGCGTCTCCGGTCACAGGCAGCGCAATGCAATCACACCTTCGCACAGAAGCCTTAAAGCAACTAGAAAAACATCAGCAACCAGCGTGCCCAAGGCCCTACGCAGGTCAGGGGGACAGGGCTGCCCACACGGTCTGGTTGGAAGGTCGACCTGGAACGGTTAGGAAGTGTGATGCCAAAGCAGCACCCCCACATTCAGAAGCAGAAATGAGCCCAGTGTTACGCGGCAGCATCCCTGTTATAATGAACCAGACACCCCCCCCACCATCGTACCCCAACCAGTCAGACTCAGACCAGTGTTTCTCAAACGACGAATCCCAATCCCATTTCGGGGGGACCACAGGCCTGCTACTGTTTCCATCTTGCGTTTCCATGATGATGATGACGACGACATTTTAGAAATCACAGTTATATTCCACCACACCTAAAGGCTGTGGAAACCGCGCATGGCCTCATCTCAGCTCCAGGTTCAGGGATATAAATGTCTCAGGCTGACAGGAGACTTACCAGGGCCCAGTGGACTCAGGGTGACCAGATGGTGACACCAAGTGATGGCCACCCACTTCGAGGGGCTGTGCCAACAGGCGTTTCCAGGCCACGGGACCTGAGAAACACGGGGAGGCTGGGAGTGGGCAGGCAGACGTGGGCGTGGCAAGGGCGCACACAGGCCCCCGCTGCGCACGGGGTGCTGCCCACTTTGATCACAGCCACGTTGCCAGCGCATAACACGCCAGCGTCTTTACCTGTTTCACTGTCATAAGGAGATACACGAACAACGAACTCATGCCTAGTTTCTTGTGTATTAATAGGTAAGTGATATTATCATGAAAATCCTTTAAATCGGTACCAGTGGGCATCCGAGAATGTTTCTTTGCGTTCGCTCCCCAAGCTGAAGATGCAGAGAGCATTTTAGCTCTGGACCACCTGTGAGCTGCAGAGAAAATGAATCTTTCCTGTTGTCACAACGTGTGAGCGTATGAAACCACACAGCCCTGCATTTACGTGCAAACCTACGATCCACAAGGCTCACTGCAGACTCTTCGGGAGCCCCTAGGAGCCCCAGGGCGCTGTGGCCACGTCCCCTGGCGGCGCCTCCCCCGCTCCGGGGATACACCTGGGGCCAGGGTGCCCAGGACCCAGACGCACACCCCTGCCCAGCCTCGGAAAAGAGGACGGATGTTCGGGCGGAGCACGTCTGCGAATGTACTCACACAAAGAAGGGCATCAGCTGAACGAGGGTCTCCTTCCGGGGGCTGGTGGCGAACTCGGGGACCGCCTGGATGACTTTGTTCATGACGCTGCGCAGGTAGCTCTGCAGCTGCTTCCTTCGCTCCTCGACAAACTTGGCGTCCTGGGGAGACACAGACAGGGCGCTCAAAGCGTGCTTCCCGCCCTGCCCCGCGGCGCCCCGTCCCCGCCACCCAGGCAGCTCGCGTTCCCTGAGCGACCGGCACACGTGAAGGGTGCCTCCGCTTTACATGTGATCACATTCAATGACAGGGACGGTGCTCATGATGTCAGGTGGACAGCGGGGCCACCCAACTCCCTATGGTGTGTTCCCATAAACGAGTCTCAGCCACTGTGGCTGCTATTTTATTAAAATATATTGTTATTGCTTTTTTTAGAGAGAGAGAGGAAGGGAGAGAGAGACTGAAACATTGATGTGAGAGAAGAACATCAATTGGCTGCCTCCTGCACACCCCCCAACAGGGATCGAACCTGCAACCCCAGCGTGTGCCCTGACTGGGACCTCTCAGTCCAGGGGACGACGCTCAGTCCACTGAGCCACGCTGGCCGGGCAACTGTGGCTGTTCTTTATCGAGTTCCTTCCATGTGCAAATGTGGTGCTGGGGACACAGGTGACAACAGGGGACACAGTCACTGCTGTGGCCCTGGTGGGGGTCACAGGCCGGGGTGGAGGGGGGCACGGATAATCCAGTGACCACGCAGGTCAGTGTTTAACTGTTAATCACACTAAATGCCACCCTGGAGAGAGGTTGCTTCATTTTGCCTTCACAGGAATTTTCTGAAATATAAATCAGTTGCCATTATTGAAGAAAGATTTCATTAATAAACAAACAAATTCTACCTTCTCTTGAAAACCTAGGAGACAGGGCAGCCCCGGGCTGGGGGGGGGGGTACCGCATGGCCCGAGAAGGTGAAGATTGGTGCGGTCTCCAGCCCTCCCAGCTCAGGGGTCCGGACCCTGCTGCTCACACCCCACCCCACCGGGCATCTCCTTGGCCCTGGGGGCGGGCCGGCTTCCCAAGCATCCGCCGTGCAGTGCAGTCACTCAGGGTCGGAACTTGGACCTGTGTCATGAGCTGCTGTCCCTGTCTTGAAATTCTTAATACTTTTGGAACAAGGGGCCCCCATTTTCCTGTTGCCCTTGGCCCCACAGATTCTGTGGCACCCCCTGTTCACTCAAATCTGTACCGGGGGCCCTGGTTTTAACAGAGAAACCCTGGCCAGCGAGGGAGCAGGGCAGGCTTTCTCTAAGCGATGCCCCCTGGACTGCAGGCCAAGGGGGTGAATAAGGGAACAGCAGGGAGGGCGGTCGGAGGAGGTCATCCACCCTCACGAGAACAGAAGCAGCGTGCTCTGATTAATCACAAACGAGGAAGCTGCGGCCAGAGAGGAGCTGGGCAGCTCGCCCACGAGGTCCCAGAGGGACTGGGGCTCTCATCTCCGCCTCACGCCCCAGCGCCAGCACCGAGCCGGCCCAGGCAGGACCCTTAACAGTCTGCTGAACGAGGCCGGCGCGCAGAGCCACCCGAGGGCCTGCCCAGTGTGTGCCCTCGTCTCTGACAGGGTGTCCACAGGCCGTGCCCAGGACCAAGCATGGCCGAGCAACTTTAAGTGTCAGATTTGGTCCTGGCCAGTTTGGCTCAGCGGTTAGAGCGTCAGCCTGCGGTCCAGAGAGACCCGGGTTCGGTTCCCGCTAAGGGCATGTACCTCGGTTGCAGTTTGTCCCTGGCCCTGGTTGGTCGTGCAGGTGGCAGCCACTCGATGTGTCCCTTTCACGTCGATGTTTCTCTCTCTCTCTCCCTCCCACTCTATCTGAACAAAAAAAAAAAAAAAAAAAGGAAAAATGTCCTCGGGTGAGGAAAAAAAAAAAAAGAAGTGTCAGATTTGGCAAATAAAAATACAGGATGCCCAGTGAGATCTGAATTTGGATAAGCAATGAGTCATTTTTTCAGTTTTCATAATTCAATATTCAATAATTTTAGTATTCAAGTGTGCACCACACAATAAACCCTTCCCATGCAATATTTGGGGCACACTGAAACTGAGAAATTATGCACTGTTTGCCTGAAATTAAAATCTCACTGGCTGTGCTGTGTTTCACCTGGCGACCCTCCTCTGAGCGCCAGCGGGGAGGAGGGACGACGAGCAGGAGCCCGGGCCACTCCGAGGTCACGGCAAGGTCCTCTGGCCCACAGCCACTGCTGGACGACTGCCTGGGCGGGGACTCCCTCCAGGGGTGGAGCAGTGGGACCGGCCCGTGGCCTCTCCACCAGCGCAGTCCCACGCAGGGGCAGCCGGCAGGCAGCGTGGGTGCGCTGAGCGGGCAGAGCGGAGGCACCAGCCAGGAGAACCGCAGGTCCTCGGCCACACTGGGGCCCGGGCTCTGCTCCCTGGCCAGGTCCTTCTCCGTGGTCTCCAAGTTCACCCCGTTACTAGCAGTCACACGCCCCTGCGTGGGAAGGTGGTTAAGAGGCCAGCTTAGGTTAGTGCTGAATCGAGCTAATTACATCTGGTTTCCGTCTGCACAAGGAACCCTCGAGGTCTCTGAGGCCCTGAGCGGGAAGACAAGCAAGGAGACCAGCCTGGGAAGACATGGCACAGAGTTCTCCCTGTTTGGAGGGGCTGCTCAGAACACCCCTGTGACCTGTGGGGCTGGACTACAGGGTCCCAGGAAGGTGGGGACCCCAAAGGAAAGTCAGAGGATCCGCCAAGGAGTCGAGTCTGCCCATTTCCGCTTGATCAGTGCTTTGTCACCCAAGTCCCGGGGCCAGAGCGCCAGGCAGAAAGGTGATCACCCCGGAGGCCTCCAGGTCCTTCCCCTGGACGGATTCCCCCAGTGAGCTGCACCCCAGAAACCCAGCCGGCTCCTGAAAGAGTCCGACACGGCAGCAGCAGAAATCCGACATCCAGGCGGTTTTCCCGAGCCGCCAGGAGACAGCAGCGGCATCCATGGCGTCCTCGTCCTCGCTCTGTGCCCGGGGCCCTCCTTGCCCCGCACCCTCACCGCACACCTGAGTCTGGACACTGCGGCTGGGCAGCGTGAGGACCTGGCCCGAGGGCTCAGAACCCAGGGTCCCAGGTCTTCAACCTTCGAGCAATGAGAGCAGCCCTCGTTCCAGAACGTTCTCGAATTTACAGGAGAAAAATCTGAAGGCCCAAACCGCAGGCTTACTGGTGGGCGTTCGCAGGAGACATCATCGTCACCTCGGCGCCTGGCTGCCAGCTGCACCGGGGCTGCTTCCTTGAGCTGCACACCCGACTTGGCAGAGCCCACGGGCGCCGACCTCGGAACGATCCAAGGAGGCTGTATTCTTTCTCCCGACTGTCATTCCATTTTTTATTTATTTTTTGCATTTTTTATTATGACCATGTCAAAATACAGCAAAAAGCAGAGCAAATAAATCGCCATGACCTTTTATCTAATAAAGTCTTAACCTTTTTCCACATTTGCTTCATATTTTCACCTTCTTGCTGAGGCGTCTAAATTAGGCTCATTGTGGCAGATCAGCCCCGAATACTTCACCAAGAACATGTCCCCATTTAACCATCGTCACCTCTAACAAAACAAATGGTATTTTCGGGTGTTGGACCGAATACGGGCTCAAACACTTGAGTTTCCGGGGGTGCCCGCAGTGCCTGGGATCTCTGGAGGAGCTGCAGCCTCCCAGGACAGAGCCCTTCAGCAGGCCGAATGCGGCAGGGTCAGGGCAGCGCCCCCGCGGGGACCAGTCGGCTGCTGACTTGTTGGTGAAGGTCGTCCTGCCTTTCACTACAAGCTGCTAACGGCTCGTGTGGCCTAAAAACATGTCAACGAGCATATTTCTGCATAAAATTCAGATTCCTGGCCTCCCCTGAAGAATGGGCAGAACTGCCCTCCTGCCCGGGATGGCTCCTGCCATGGCTCCCGCGGCCTGGGTTTGAGAGCCCTAAGGTATGCAGTGCACAGCAGGCGTGCCGGGGGGCCCTACAAAAGCACCCAGGAGCCCACCCGCCCTGCCAAACGACTGCTCTACAAGATGAGCTGCCGTTCCCTCAGGCAGGCAGAGCGACCTGCATCAACATTCACCAGCTCTGTCAGGTGGTAAACCACTTGGAGCCTTGGGCTTCTCATCTGTAAAACGGGGATGAGGATGGCGCCCCCCTCAGGCGCAACAGCCTAGACTAAGCACCTGGCAGCCTAAGTCTCGCCAGCCAGGCTCTATAGAAGCTGGCGATTCGTGGGTGCTCCGCCAGGATGCTTTTACTCCAGAGCTGCGGGTGTGTGGGTGGGGACAGCGGTCACGGGTGGGCACCAGGAGGGGCAGGTGGGGGTGCTGTGATCTGCAGGTGCAGGGAGTGCTCAGGAAGTCTACATGACAAATGCAGAGGGTCTCCCTCGGAGGAGTGGGTCCTTGAAGACACTGCTTCGGTTTCTCTTGGAGGGAAGGTGCTGTCAGGGGTCCAGACGGTGCCCTCGGGGCACGGGGGGCATGGCAGGAACAGCAAATGCAGAAGCCTAGGCAGCAGGAGCCTGGCAGGAAGAAGGTCCCCGTGGCTGGGCTTAGCGGGCCCAGGGAGGGGAGATGTATGGGCAGCAGGCCCCAATCCCTCTCCTTGGAGACGATGGAAAGCAGCCGATGGGAGGTGGGGCGCAGGAGGGGGGGGTCTCGTAAGCATTGAGAAAACTGCTGCTGGGGAAACAGGCTGAGGCAGCCTCAGGCAGAGGTCTTTCAAAAACCTACCAGGACACCCTCCTGTCTGGAATTCTTCACTGGTTCCCAAGACCCTGTTCGCGTCCCGACACATCTGAACTGGCGTGTTCACAGGAACCTTTAGGAAGCGGCCCTCACACACCCCGCCCACCTCGCTCCATGTCGCCTGTCCCCACCCTCAGCCCCCACCCAACACCTCCACACTTCAGCTCCCAGCGTTCTTCCTGGGTCCTGCGCACTGACCCTGCTGTCTCCTGGCTTCTCGGGCTGCTCCCCGGCCTGGAGCGCCCTGCCGTTTGGGTCTCTGCGCCTGTGCTCTCCCCTCCTGGACATGCCAGCTGAGGCTGCCAGGCGCTCCCAGCCACCCGTTCTGCTCCCTGCCCAACGCCTAGCTGCTGGGAGGACCTCAGGC